AGGGGGCAAGTGGCGCTGGTGGGAGAGGAGGGGGGAGCGTGAGGAGCGGGGAAAGCGGGGGGAAGTGGGGGGAAGTGGGTTGAGAGGAGGTGGAGGGCCGTTGGGGGATGGGAGCAGCGTGTTCTTTGTGTTCAACTCGGAGAAGGAGCGGGACCGAGCTGGTGACCTGCTGCTGAAGCTGCTGGGAGTGAGTGGGTGATGGGAAAGGGTGAACAAGTGGTTTGATTTTATGTTTGTGGATGGGATCTTTGTGTGAAGTGGTGGGTGGGTGGCGTGGGAGTTCATGGAATGGATGCTAAACACGCTGCTCACATTCATATATCTCTTCTCCTCTCACCACCTCCCCTCCTCTCACCATCTTTGTCCCCCTCTCCCTGTCTCTTTTCTCTGCATTTGAGTTGACACAAAAATGCTCCCCCCCATGTCTAACGTCCCCCTGTCCCTCCCATTTCCCACTTCCCCCCCCTCTCCACCCCCCCTCCCCCCCTCCTCTCTCTCCCCTCTCTGCTTGCTCCCCACCGCCCCCTTCCTCTGCCTCTAGCATCAACCGTCGGTCCACACTGCCACCCGCCTCTCCCCTTGCCCCCCTCCCTCCGCCCCCCTCCCTCCGCCCCCTTCCAGCCCCGCAGCGGTGGCAGCAACACCGCTGGAATCTCACCCTCCCCTCCCTTCCATGCCCCCATTTCTCACACTCCGATTCTCACACTCCATTTCCTTCCCTCACCCCCCAATGAACCTCAGGGTCCGTCCAACCCAGCAGCAGTGGCAGCAACGTTGCTGGAGGCTCACACACATGCACTGCAGGCCGTGACAAGGTTGTGGCAGGTGGGGCAGTAATGCATGTTCTTGTGAATATTTTGCAATGGTCAATGTACTACTGACATTGTTGAGAGTCTCAATCCAATGTTCATTGTAACAACAGTAGCAGGCGACCATACACCTTCTCTCCCCTCTAACCGCCTTCCCCGTCTCTCTCTCCCCCCATTGCTCCTCCAGTTTGCCTGTTAGTGCCTGCCTTCCCGACCCTTCTGTTTTCTGCCCTTGCCCTCCTCCATGTCCTTCCCCCGTCCCTCATCAATCCTGCCGTATCTCCAATTGCGACTTTCTCCTCTTCCTCACCCTGCTACCTTTCGTCCATCCCCTCGCTCTAACCCGCACCCCATAACCAGTCTGCCCGCATCTCCAACCACGACTAACGACTATCTCCGTTTCCTCAACCTCGCACCCTTTGTTTTCCTTGAAACCCCCCCCACCTCTCCTCCTTGGCCCCTCTCAGGCCTGCTGCATTTCCAATCGCGATTATCTGCACTTCCCTCCCCCCTTCCCCTCCTCCCCCCTGTTCCCCTCTCCTCATCCCCCTTGCTCTATCTGCCCCTTATCCCAACATTTGTGCGCGCGCATCTCCAATGGCGACCTCCTCCTTTCACCCTACCTCGTCCCTTCTGCCCATTCCCTACCTCCAACCCCCCAAATGCCCCCCCACAACACCCCCCCCCCCATCTCACCCCCTTTCAGGCGGCGCGCTTCTCCAACCGCGAATACCTGCTCTTCCTCAATTTGGCGGCGGGACGCAGCGAGTGCGAGTTGGCGCAATGACCCGTGATGCCGTGGGTGCTGGCGGACTACGGCTCGCAGCACCTCAGGCTGGTGGACCCCACCACCTTCCGCGACCTCTCCAAGGTACACTGCCCAATGGCGCTGAGGGAACGACCCCAGCGCCTTACTTTATGCACCATGGCATTCACGAACTGAGACTCCACGACCCCAGCACCTACTGAAATCTCTCCAGGTGCCCACTCAGCCTCGGGGCATTTGCCCTGCCTGCCTGTCTCAGGCTGGACGACCCAACTCCCTCCGAGCCCTCTAGGTCTAGTGACCGTTAAAGAGGCACTCACCTCTATACTCCTTAACTCGTGCTTGACGTCCTTGCTGACGTCATTGTTGTCGCTCCTCCAGAGCAGCCTGCCCTGTCTGTCAATGAACGCTCTTGCAACTTCCATTATGCCCTACCCAACCCTCTCCGTCATCCCCTTCCCACCTACCTCCGTCTCTCTCTGCAGCATGTCGGAGCACTCAACCCGGCACGCCTAGCAGAGTTCAAAGAGCAGTACAGCGAGGTGAGGAGCGGTTGGACAAGGTGAGGGCCGTCTGTGTGTCTTTGGCCACACCCTCCTCTTTGCTTGCATTTCCTCACCTGTTGCTCGGCCTCTCTTCATGTCGCCCCTTCCCCCTTGAAGCATGCCTGTTGTGCGAGTACTGACTTGTGCGTCATGAAGCAACCGTCACCTTGCACCCATCCCTCTCACGTCACTCCAGATGCCTCGAGAAGAGGGTGGGTCGGAGAGCGCCAAGCCGTTCCTCTACGGCACGCACTACTCCACCCCGGGGTACGTTGCACCGTGCTTTGCTGAGACCTTTTGGGGGGGGAGGTGGTGTATGTTGAGTTGTCTCAAAATACATCGGAGTACGTTGGATGCTAGAGCTGGTTCCGGGGGTCTTTTGACAACATTGCTTACTGCCCTCGCTTTCTAAGCTGGGACGCACCAGGGTGAAGAGAACCAACCACCTGGCTTGCTGCTGATGCCTTCTCTGCCAGACCCCATGCGCGGCTTTTGCAGCCCTGCACCCTGCTTCTGGGACTCACCTCTCCTCGACGTTATGCCTGCCATGCCACTCACTTCTCTATTGGTGCCCTCCACGCTCTTGCTGCCTTTACTGGATTCATTCGATTTTCCGCCATCCCACATGCACACAGCGCTGTTCGCTATCTATTGTTGCAGATTCTATACCCCCACATCCACCATCACATAATGCTGTGGGCATCTGCCACTGCACATCCCGCACCCTTTTACCATTCACGTGTGCAGCTATGTGCTCTATTGGCTCGTGCGCTCAGCACCAGCACACGTGCTGTGACTCCAGGTTAGCCTTCGCAGGTAGACATGGCCTTCACCAAGCCGGCTTCGAGCCGGGCTTCTATGTTGGAAAAAACACACATTTGATTTTGCATTATACGCTAGCAAAATTCGAACGCTGCATTTTAGGTGTAGATTCGCTGAAATACGCTTGGGCTGACCGCGAAAAAAAAAACTGAAATTTCCACGACAGTTCGCAACTGGGCGAAACAGTTCAGGGGTTTCGCACATCGTCAATTCAATATCGAAATTTGAATTTCAGAGTCGAAGCGCACCAAACCCACTTCCACCACTAATCACCCCACTCCACCCCGTCATTACTTTTCCCCTCCCAACCCATTGTCGAAAAGCCTTTCCCCCAAGCAGAGTTTGCTTTCCAACCATAAATGTAGCCATTCTAGCATTCAGAACTCAGTCTCTTCTCTAATTTTATCCTAGCTGTCCCTTCCGTCTCCAGCATGTCTACGACGCCTAGACCCGCGGCTTCTTCCCCTTCAGCTGGGGGAGCCCGGGCTTCCGCTGAGGCTTCTAGCAGTACGCTCTACTGCCCTGACAGCATGCACGTCGTGTTCCGCCACTTCAATGTCCCGGTCGATGACTCAAGTGACAGCGCGACAAAGATCTGCAAGTACTGTGAGTTCAAGTTCATTGGCGGCATGTACCGCTGCGTTCAACACATCACCAGCTGGTCCGGCATGAGACGACGCGAAGTGCGGCTCTGCCCCTTGGCTCCCAAGTCTGCCCGTGAGGCGGTCAAGGCGTCGTACAATTCATTCGAAAGAACGCGGCGGAAGCGGCCGCACTCGGAGCGGTTAGCGGCGCTGCTCGCGATGGCAAAGGGAAGAGGTCCCGCATCACCAACTTCTTCGACGACGAAGGGACCTGCGCGAAGGTGGCGGCAGACGAGGCACTTTGCCTCCTCTTCACCGGCCTTCGACTTCCCGAGCACCACGCGGACCACCCTCTATGGAGGAACGCCGTCAGCTGCATCGTTCGCGCAAGCGCATCGTACGTTCCTCCGAAGCACCGCTTCATCGGAGGGGCAGGCCTGCAGAGGTGCCGTCAGCGCATCGAGGTGGCCTTGGCGCTGATTGCCGCAAGCCGGCACCACGACGGGGTCACCATCGCGTTGGACATGATGTCCGACGGCTGCGGACGCCCTCAAGCAAATATTCTGCTCATCAACGACTCGGTGAGCCGTTTTCACCAAGTCTATCGACACGAGAATGGAATTGAAGACAGGCAGCTACATCGCGAGCCTCCTCCGCCCGATCCTGAGGAAGGTTGGGCCCGAGAACGTCGTTTCCCTTTGCATGGATGGCGGCTCAAACTATGCCGCGGTATGCCGGGAGCTTGTGGCAGAATTCTCGCACATCAAGACCGTCCCCTGCGCCACCCACGTTCTCGGCCTTCTTATGGAAGTCATTGGGAAGATGACATGGGTGAAAGACGCGGTGGAAACGGCGTCCGAGATGATCAACTTGGTGCGCTCCCACCACTTCACCCGCGGCTACCTGAGGAGCAACCTCGTCAACGGTGGCAAGGGGTGGCAGGTCCTCAAGCCGGCTGGCATGCGGTTCGGGACACAGTATATTGCAGTGTCCCGACTATGCTACGTTCGGCTCAGCCTTGTTCAGATGGTCCTGAGCGAGGATTGGAGAGGGTGGGCGGTGGGGGGGAGGAAGGTGGGTGGCGAGAAGCTCAAGGCGCAAGTGATGGACGCCTTATGGTGGCAGCTGGTGGAGTTTTTCACAAAGCTGCTGGAGCTCCCCTTCATCGTCATGTGGGCCACCGATGCCATGGCAAAGGGCATGATGGGTCGCATGTACGACACCATGCTCCAGCTCACCAAGGACGTCTCGGATTTCCTCGACGAGCATGCGGAGGGGAAGCTCACAAGGGGAGAGGTGGAGGAGGTGAAAAAAATTGTGAAGAATCCGTAGGATGGAGGGCTCGCCTGCCCCATGCATGTGGTTGGCCGGATCCTTAATCCGACCAACCAAGAGGAGGGCATTTCCGCACCGACATCGAGTGCACCCGCGTCTTCAAGGCGTACATCTCCTGCCACTATGACCACCTCACCATTACCCGCAGGGATGGTGAGGAGCGCCGTGCCTCCCTAGTGCTTCAGGAAGGCCTCATGGCCTTCCTGAACCTGCAAGGGAGCTTCGGCCTCCCCACTACCATTCTGGACCGTGAGGCTGTGAAGGAGGGGAGGCAGAGTGTCGTGCAATGGTGGTCCTGGCACGGCACGGACTTTCCTGAGCTCGCCACGCTTGCGTGCCGTGTCCTCACACAGCCCGCATCGGCGGCAGCATGCAAGCGCAACTGGGCCGTGTGGGAGTCGGTCCACACAGCCAAGCGCAACCACTTGGGGTTGGAGAAACTCAGCGACCTCGTGTACGTTGCGCACAACTGGAAAGTTGTGCACAACTGGCACTCGGTCGCGGAGGGGCAGGGGGTGGTCTGCGGGAATATCGAGGTGCCCGCCATTCCGGAGGGGTACACCGAGCAGGAGGAGGGGGACGAAGAGGAGGGGGAGGATGCTGTGCTTGCCGATGAGTATGAGTAGAGCTGACGGACCTGCGGGAGGAGGGGGGTGGGGAATGGAGTGGAGTAGTAGAGCGGGACTGCAAGGGGGGGGGGGGAGTAGTGGAAGGGGGCTGCAGGGGGAGGTGTAGTTGAAAGAGGGTGCATAGGAGGTTAGAGTAGTGGGGAGGTTAGTAGTAATATGCAGCGGGTATTATGATGTATGAAATTTGTCTATCAATAAAATGGGGATGGGGATTTGGGGTGCTTTGTACCCACCCCCCCCCCCCCCCCTCCCCCCCCCTCCCCCCATTTCCGCTTCTTACTCCAGATTTCTACCTGCTCGGGAAAATAATTCAGCTGCCCGGGCCACCGTTTTCCTACGTACCAGACCCACTTACCCCAAGCGTTTTGTGTATATACGCTAGCGTACTAAACGCGAAACGATTTTTTTCCAAAATAGCCGGGCTTTAGTCGAGCCGAGCTGAGCCGAGCCAGCTTCGGCTCGCTTCAGCAAAAGGCTGGTTCGGCTCGGCTCGGTGAAGCCGGCTTCGAGCCGAAGCTGGGCCTTAAAACGAGCCGACTCGGCTCGTTTTTGAAGCATTGAAGCCACGGGGAGGCGGCTAGGCTAGGGTTTATGAGAACACGACACTCAAATGAGAGTCGCGTTTCGTAGGGGGTCGAATTTTGACCAACCAAATCCCTCCCTTTCACCGCACTAAACTAGACTTGAGCAACGGGTTGGGTCGAGTCGGGTAACCCGACCGGAACCCGACTTTTTGAGGGGTCGGGTCGACGTTTGCGGAGGGTCGACCCGACCCTACCCGACCCGACCGACAAAACCCGACCCGCCGGGTCGGCTTATTACCCGTCGCTGCCCCTCTGCCAACCTGATCCGACCCGACCCGAAATCCGGTCAGGTAGTACCCGACCTAATAAACCCGGGTCGGGTTGACATTTCCTGATCACTGACCCGACTTGAGCCGACCGGACCCGACCCGAACCCGACATCGGGTAGGGCAAAGTCTGGTCGGTTCGGGTCGGGTTCATGCTCAAGCCTACACTGAAGTCCCCCCCGTTTACAGACTTCAAATTTTCCAGCAAACTCCCTCCCTATCACCGCACTGAACTTTCCCTCGTCTACAAATTCCAACCTTTCCTCACAATTGCTCCACTCTCTCCCCCTCGACCCCTTCCCCATTTGCAGCAAGACCTGAAACAGCGCGCTGTAACTCATGCAAGTTCCGCCACCTAGCTAAGCACACCACCACCTCCTAGCTAAAGCCCCCCTTTTCTTAAAGTTACATGGCTGGGCTTCGCGCCGCGCTGAAGCCTAGTCGGGTCGAGCCAGGCTTCGGCTCGGCTTGGCTCAACTCGGCTCGGCTTCGGCTTTGGCTTTAGTGAAGCTGCGAGCCGAGCCGAGCCGGCTTCGGCTCGCTAAAAAAAAATCCGGCTCGGCTCGGCCTGAAGCCCAGCCGAGCCGGATCCGGGCCAAGCTGGCTCGGTGTAAGCCCATGTCTACTCGCCGGTGATCCTTCAGTACGGGCGCTTTGACTCGCCAGACGTTCTATTCACGGGCTAGCACATGTTGTGAGAGAGCGTGCTGGCCAGAACACAGCTCATCCTGCCGCGGGATTCCCGCGCCTCTTCCTCCCCCCCGCCCCCTCCCCTCTTCCTGTGCCTCTCCCTGCCAGAACGGCCACTTTGACTCGCTGGACCGCCTGTTCACGGGGCTGCAAGAGTCGTGGGAGAGCGTGCTGGGCAACACTACGGATGTCAAGGAGCTCATCCCACACTTCTTCTCGCTACCCGCGCACTTCCTCCGCCTCATGTCAGCCTGCCTTTTAATGTCCTTTTTGTTTTTGTCTTTTTGTTTCGCTTACAGATTTAATTTTCTTGTTAGCGCACCGCTTGACAACGTCTAACCTCTCATCACACTGTATTTCTTCATGTGCTTTCGTCGCTTCTAATTAGTGACTGCTCATTCATTCTCTTCACTTCCTTTCACGCCCACCCTTCTCTCCCTCCATCACCCTCAGTGCAAACGCCACCCTTACTCTTTCCCCCCCCCCCCCCCTTCCTCTCCCACACCACCACTAGTTCGGACCTCAATCTCAGCATGCGCCAAAACGGAGTGCCAATCGGCGATGTGGAGCTGCCGCCCTGGTGAGTGTGGTTGAGTATATAGTTGAGCGGTATTTCTTGTCATGCTATTATAAGTTGTGCACTGCATCAGTGGATGGGGAATCGTGTACTAGAGCTCGGTGCCGCTAATATTTGAAAGCCCATTTTGCCGGAAATGCTCAAGCCAGGTTTTTCCATGGTGTATCTGATGCACTTTCCCACCTTTTCTCAGCTGTGCTCTCTTGATTGTGTCTTTGCCGTGCTTCCAACGTCCTTGTTTGCACCTTCACCAAAAATTGCTGCGTTCGTAGCCAAAGAATCCAAACCACCTCGATTCTGGATCCTCCTCTCTACCGGCACACGTCAACCGTGGCCCACGGCCCTCACCTCTCGGAATTTCTCTCCACCACTTTCCAACCGCCCTCCCTCAGCTGGCAGGGCAAAGGACGCAGAGGATTTTGTTCTGAACACGTACAGGGACTCGAGTGCGAGTGGGTGTCTTCAAATCTGCACCATTGGATTGACCTGATCTTTGGATACAAGCAACGAGGCAAGCTGCTGCTACTACTGTTCTCTCACTTCATTGAGTCACATATCATGTGCTGTTTGGCATAAATCCACTATGAACCATCGTAGTCATATAAGAAATAGAGCTGAAATGATTGATTAGGTAAGGAGCCCAAGGCTCTATAAGTACATGGCGAGGTAAGGGAGAAAGGATGAAGGGGGAATCGGCGGGAATCCCCATTGGGATCTCCGGAATCTCCAATTGGGTAATTGGAGATTGGGGGGTTCACAATTGGGTGAGGTTGGGATTTTGTAAGTACACCCCAACCCGCTAGAACATTCCTAACCTAAACTAGGATATAAAAGTACAAATACAAAAGTGGGATTTGCAATCTATTTCTAACACACCCCCATAGACTGCAAAACTCAGTCAAGGAGCACATAGCCCCATGGAACGAAGAAGGCGGTGGTGGTCAGCCTTGCCAAGAGCCTTGGTAAAGAGGTCGGCAAGGTTGCAATCTGAGGCGATGTACCGTATCGTCAGGTGGTCACTCTGAACAAGATCTCGGATGAAGAAATGACAAAGTTCAATGTGCTTGGTGCGAGAGTGGAACACAGGATCCTTGGTGAGGTGAATGGCGCTCTGGTTGTCACACCATAGGGTGGGAGACTGCTGGGGGTAGCCTAACTCTGGGAGGAGAAAGGAGAGCCAGCGTGCCTCTTGAGAAGCCATTGTGCCTGCGTAGAGCTCGGCCTCGCAGGACGATAGGGAGACTGCAGAGGACCGACTGGAACACTAGCTGATGACTCCGCTACCAAGAGTGAAGCAGTCCCCTTGGGAGGAGCGTCTGTCAGTCTGGTCATTGGCCCATGAGGAGTCTGTGTATCCCTCGGGCTTGACTGGAGAGGTACCACCGAGAGAGAGGATGTGAGACTTGGTGGCTTGTATATAGCGCAGGACCCTCTTGGCTGCAGACCATTGCGAGGCAGTGAAGCGTCCGGGGGAGACGTACCGAGAGAGGACACTAACCGGGTAAGCCAAGTCTGGTCGAGTGCACATCATAGCATACATAAATGAACCGACAAGCTCAGGGTACGGGTCCTTGCAGGTGTCAGGAGAAGGAATCGGAGGGGCCGTGAGCTGATGCTGTAGTGGGAGAGGAGTGGAGACAGAGTTACTTGAGTCCATGTCGAACCGCTTGAGAAGGTTGTCGATGTAGGACTCCTGGGAGAGGGTGATCGTGCAAGCCTGGCGGTGACGAGTGATCTCCATCCCCAGGTAGTTCTTGAGGTCACCAAGATCCTTCATGAGAAGGGCAGAGCTGAGAGCAGAGTGGACAGCTGCCATCTCGGCTGGATTTCTGGCGGCTTGAATGAAGTCGTCGACGTAGACGAGGATGTAGAAGGGCTCGAAGGAGTGATGAACGAAAAGACTGGAATCTGAGGTGGAGGGATGAAAGTCAAGTGCGAGGAGGACTTCCTTCACCTTGTTCTGCCACTCACGAGGAACCTGCTTGAGGCCATACACTGGGCACTTCAGCTTCCACACTGTGTTGGCAGGATTAGTGCCAGGAAACCCCAGTGGGCGTTCCATGTGAACATCCTCCTTGAGCTGGCCTTGGAGAAAGGCGGAGGAGGCGTCCATGGACTTGATCTCGAAGTTGCCGCGAGCGGCTATATCAAGAAGAGCGCGCACAGTCAGGAGCTTGGCCGTGGGCGAGAATGTTTCGAAGAAGTCGAGATACTCCATCTGGGTAAAACCCTTCGCCACGTATCGTGCCTTGAACAGTGGAGCTTCGCCTGGGAGTTGTTTGACTCGGAAGATCCATTTTCCGCCGACGATGTTGACACCGGAAGGGGGAACAACATCGTCAAAGCTGTTGTTGCGAATGAACGCCTCGTTCTCCACATCCATTGCTGCCTTCCACTCCTTCTTATAAGGCCCCGAGAGAGCTTCCTCTTTTGTGCGAGGAGTCGGAATGGTCGGGTTCTCGGTGAAGTTGAGGGAAGGGCAGTCAGTAATGTCCGGGAAGATGTGAGAGAGAAATTGGCAGACCGCGTGAAGGTCAAACAGCTCCTCATGCCTGTCCTCCAGAAGTGCACGGGGGGGAATACGGATGGAGGGGACATCACCCCCGGCAGGAGGAGGCGGGGTGACCGAACACCGGATGGAGAAGGCGGCTGGTCCCCAGGCGAGAGGCGGAGCCGGTCCCTTGGAACGAGTGCGACTAGAGACCAGAGACGAAGGAGCGGGATCGGGTTGGCGAGTGAAGTGGTTGAGTAAGCCATTGTCGGTGTGCAGCGCGGCACTTCTGGAAATTGGTGTACGAGAATTGCTGAAAATCACTCTGACGGCTTTATCAAAATGCCGCTAAGTAGGAAATGGCGTCGGCGAAAATTCGTTAAAACGCCGACTTGAAACAGAATCTGAGCCTATGTCTAACCCCAGACCCACACACGCCCAGGCCCTGTCCCGCAGCTACACAGCTCTGCAACCAGCTCCGCAACCAGCTCCGCTCCGCTTCAACCTGTGTACCTGCTCTTGATTTGACGCGAGACGTTCGTGGAGGCGATTTCGCGAGGGGAGTTCGCCTATTCTGGCGGGGTCTGAGGGGAAACTCGAGAACGAGTTTTAAGAGATGGTCGAAATTGAGATTCGACCAAGGAGAACCGAGGAGGAAATCGACGACAAGAAGCGGGAACGCTTCAAAGATAAAGAATTCAACGAGGTCGAGCGCGAAGGTGGTCGACGATGAGAGGCGCGACTGCAGAATGGAGCACGTCGAAATTCCAACGTCTCGAAACGAATGCCGCGACGATGAAGTGCGCGTAGCGCGGGCACGTTGAGATTAGGACCTTGATCCGCGTGTGCGGATAGGTCGCTCTGATACCATGTAAGAAATAGAGTTGAAATGATTGATTAGGTAAGGAGCCCAAGGCTCTATAAGTACATGGCAAGGTGAGAGAGAATGGATGAAGGGGGAATTGGAGGGAATCCCCATTGGGATCTCCGGAATCTCCAATTGGGTAATTGGAGATTGTGGGGATCACAATTGGGTGAGGTTGGGATTTGTGAGTACACCCCAACCCACTAGAATATTCACAACCTAAACTAGGATATAAAAGTACAAATACAAAAGTGGTATTTGCAGTCTTTTTCTAACAGCCGCGAGCGGCTATATCAAGAAGAGCGCGCACAGTCGGGAGCTTGGCCGTGGGCGAGAATGTTTCGAAGAAGTCGAGATACTCCTTCTGGGTGAAACCCTTCGTCACGTATCGTGCCTTGAACAGTGGAGCTTTGTCTGGGAGATGTTTGACTCGGAAGATCCATTTTCCGCCAACGATGTTAACACCGGAAGGGGGAACGACATCGTCAAAGCTGTTGTTTCGAATGGACGCCTTGTTCTCCCCATCCATTGCTGCCTTCCACTCCTTCTTATAAGGCCCCGAGAGAGCTTCCTCTTTTGTGCGAGGAGTCGGAATGGTCGGGTTCTCAGTGAAGTTGAGGGAAGGGCAGTCAGTAATGTCCGGGAAGATGTGAGAGAGAAATTGGCAGACCGCGTGAAGGTCAAACAGCTCCTCATGCCTGTCCTCCAGAAGTGCACGGGGGGGAATATGGATCAAGGGGGACATCACCCCCCGCAGGAGGACGCGGGGTGACCGAACACCGGATGGAGAAGGCGGCTGGTCCCCAGGTGAGAGGCGGAGCCGGTCCCTTGGAACAAGTGCGACTAGAGACCGGAGACGAAGGCGGCTGCAGTGGGACCGGAGGGACTGGGCGCTTCCGGTAGGAGACTGGTGAGCCGGGCTCGACGCGGGGGGAAGGCGGAGCAGGAGGAGGTGCCGCTGCGGAGGATACTGGGGAGGCTGGGTGAGACACGCCGGACAGAGAAGGCCCCGGAGAAGGGGCAGCGGCCGGAGGTGGGGCATCGAAGTCTGCCCAAACAAGCGTCGGGGAAGGTGGAGGAGGCTCGCCCGTGGTCGCAGAGTGGAATGGGCGTGTCCCATCGAAGACGACATCACGGCTGCGAATCAGCTGTCTGGTGATTGGGTTGAGGAATAAGTACTCTGGGGAGTCGGAGTTGTGCCCCAGGTACATGCAGGTCTGGGTTTTGGGACCAAGCTTGCCACCTTGCTTCCTGCGCGTCTGGGAGCTGAGCAACACATATGCGGTACACCCCCAGACGCGTAGACAGCAGGCGGAGGGTGTGGCCCCAAGCCAGAGAGTGGTAGGTGTGGT